CAGCCTGTACAGAAGGGCAGTGATCCCGGAGGCACAGATCTCAGGGTCTACGTCCCGCTTCCCACTCACCTGGGCCCCCAGCTTTAGCTGAAGGTGCTGGCTAACAGGACACTGAGCATCCAGGGTCCGGGCTTGCTCAGGGTCACTGTCCATGGCCTCAAAGCTGTGTACTTCACCTGGGGAGAGTCGGGCAGACAGACTACCAGTCACTCACTTGTGACTCAATTTCCAAAAAAACACATATTAGCCCAGGGCATGGGGGAGGCAGTGAGGACAGCTCAGGCCTAGCTGGGGCTCTGAAATCAGAGGCCTGTTCAAGTCTCATTTTTAGTGTTTACTGGCTGAGTGACTTTGACCCAGAAAAGGTCACATCTCTCAAAGGCACAATTACATTTGCAGATGTAGGGGACTTTATGGCTGTAAGGCTAGGGACCAAGATATTCAAATGACACCAGGAGTCCAGGCTGCCTGGAGTAGGGGGTAGGGGGGAGATGTCTGCCTGATGGCCTTTTCTAGCTGGTCTGGCCTAGCTCCAGCTCCCTGCTCACCTGGCAGTTCCTGCAGCTGCCTCTCATTGGTAAGGGCCACATCATCCTGGTGGGTGCAGAGCCTTGTGGCCACAATCCCATCTCGCCCCACCTTGTGGGCAGCTGTGGCCCGGAGCTGGCGGGTAACTTCATCTGAGCACCTGTGGAGGCCGGGTTATCAGAGCAGAGCCAAGCTGAACACCAGGGAAAGTGGGGCACATGGCCTACATGTGGCCCACGTGTCAGGCCATGGACCAGGCCTGGGGCCTGGATGTGGTACCAGAGCAAGATTTGCTGGTTCACAGGCTGGCCAACTTGTTTCTTCCTCACTTGGACCCCAGACATGGAGTAATGGTGCATGACTGTGATCAGGGGTGGGCACCCTTCCCTGTGTCTGTCCTCAGATTGGAGCTAGCTGCCCTCCTGAGGAAGTTGGATTTGATGAGTGAGCATGGGCCAGAGATTTAAGAGACGCAGATGAGGCTCTGAGGTTGAGGCTGATACCCTATAATACTGGCACCCTATCATCAGATCACCCTCCAGGCTACAATTTTCTAATCTTTTGCCTGCTGCCTTACAGGAAAAAAAAAAAAAGAAATCTAGCCTGTGTTTCTATTTTCCCCATTTCAAGTCTTCCTCCTGGGGAAGACTGGGTGCTGCAGCAACTCAAGTGGGAGGACAGGGCAAAAGTTGGGACCATCTCTGACTGCTCTGCCATTCAGGCTTCCTCTTGTCCCCTACACCGCTGGTGTGTGCTGCGCACTTCCTACCCGCCTCCTGGAAAGCCCCTCCCCACCACCACCACCCCTCCCCAGTTTGACTTGGGTCTCAAGGCCCAGCTCTGGCTCATTTCTTCTGCCCTCTTGGCCTCCCTTTCACTCCCGTGTTAGAGCAGCTGTAGCATCTCAACCTTTTGAGCTTGCTGGGGTGGGATCACGTCTGCAACCTCTCCTTCCGCACCAGCTGACCCCACGGACTCTAAGAGTAGAAGGAACTTGGGTTTCGGCGTCAGATCCGAGTGCAAATTCCAGCTCGGCCACTTATTAGCCATGACTCTGGGCAAGTCACTTCACCTCTTTGAACCCTAGTTTCTGCATCTATAAAATGGGAGTGTCTCTATCTGCCCATAAATACTCTGTGCCAGGCCCTGTGCTGGCTGATGCTCACAGAGTGACCGTCTCGTATGGGGTCATGAAGCACTTCTCCCCCTTCTCTGGGTTCTTGTGCTCCTCTCTGATCCATGCTTGGATCCTCATCCAGTGGCCCCTTCTCTCTTCACCAGGCCCCACCTGCCCAGCCGCACAGCTTGCAGCAGAGAGATGAAGGTCTTGTCCGTTTGCCTCCACACCTCAGTCAGTTCCAGGGTCACTGGGACACACCTCCTCCAGCTCTTGGCCTGGTGGGGGTAAGGTGGGGGAGTGAGGGAACAGAGCAGACCCCCATGGGGGTTAGGGCTGGAGGGCAAGCGGTACCTGGAAGCAGAACTGCGGGAGCTGGGATCCCTTGGTTATAGGTGGCAGCTGCAGGAAGTCCCCACAGATGATGAGCTGGATCCCTCCGAATGGCTTATTCTGCTGCCGGACAGCTCTGCAGAGGAGCGCGGGGTGCTCTAGGGTCTGGGGTGGTTGGGTTCCATCCGGAAGACCACCAGAACCCGGTCCTCACTGCACATACTGACCTGGCCACGGCCTCCAGCTTGTCAAACAGGTCCGCTTCCACCATGGAGATCTCATCAATGACTAGCCGCTGGCAGTTCAGCCAACCCTGCCGCACACCGGGCCGCTGGGCCAGGGCCACACACTGGGCCAGGGGAGCCTGGCCCGAGCCAATGCCTGTGAGGGACACTATTCAGCCTGGGCTGAGATCCCAGCACTGTCTCAACCCACCAGCCTGGCTTGCTCCCAGTTTAAACCCCAGGAGCTCTCATTTACCTGCAAAGGCATGGAGGGTAGTACCCCCGATGTGGCAGGCTGCCACCCCAGTGCTGGCAGTGGCCACAGTGCCTGTGGGAGGCAGTGAGCCCAGGATACGCTTCAGCAGATAAGACTTCCCCGTCCCTGGGCAGAGGGCAAAGTCAGGGCCGCTTCTCCATCCCAGCGCACCCCTATTCTCCCCACACCCACTCTGCCCCACCACTACCTGCACTCCCAGTGAAGAAAATGTTCTGGCCTTTCAGGACAGCCCTCAGGACAGCAGCCTGTTCCTTGGAAAGCTCTGGTTTGGTGGGGGGCAATCTCAGCCTCTTCACAGGCAGGGGCCACCTTGTGACTTCCTGGGGTGGGGGAGGGCTGTTTTAGGACCTCCCCACATCTCCTCGGCATCACCCCCTCCCTTCTTGGTCTGGTAGCCCTTTGTGTCTCTGCTGGCTTCTCTCTTTGGAGCCCTTGGGCAGCCTTGGCTCACCTGGAGATCTTGCCAGTAACCACAGGGTTCCAGGTCTCTCCCTGAGGAAGGGATCAAAGCTGGATCTCCACTGACTCTGGGTTCACCCCTAACATCCCCTGTCTGCAGGTCTAGATTCTCCTCAGTGTCCTCTCCTGGGTTTCCTAACTCTCCTGGTCCTCTCACCCATCCTTCCTTCTCACAACTCTTCCTGTCACAATCTGTCTCTCTGACCTAAAATCTCCCCAGCTAAACCCTGCTTAGCCGGGGCCCCTTTCCCCCCATTTCCATCTCCTCTCCAGATTAGTCTCAAACCGCTGTGGTTTGTGATCCTTCACTTCCAGTTTGTGAACACTGTCACATCCACCAGACTTAGTCCCCCAACACCTCTCCCCCATCTGATTGGACCTGTGGGCTGCCCCTAACACAGCTGATCACTTTATTCTCTCCAAAACCTCCTCTCCTCCTCCAGGAGGACTTCATTCCTACTTTCTTCTGAAGCACCTTCTCTGCTTTCTCTTTTAACGTGACCTAAGCCCATTTTCCTATTCTCATTGCTCCGTCTCAAGGACTGCACAATGAGAAACGCACGCACAATTCCCATATTTTCGTTAGTCTCAGAAGCCTGATGAACATCTCCTCTGAAGTAATCAGCAGCCATCTCAAATACCACCACCATCTTCCCCCTAAACTTGGGCTTCCTCGGTCTCTTCCATCTCCCACTCCCCAAGGCGACCCCCGTTTTCCTGTCCTCACTGTGCTGGGCTTGGCTCCCGCCCGAGGTTCCGTGGGCCGCTTCACCGGCGTGGTATCTGTGACCCGGGTGGCCGCCACGCGCCGCAACTCCTCGGGCTGCACGGGGCTGATGCCGACGAAGTCGCGGGGCCGCGGGCCAAGCAGCTGCGTGCGGGCGGAGGCCGGCCCGGGACCCGGGGCTGCCGCCAGCTTGAGGCGCAGCGTATGCAGGAAGCGGCGCAGGCGGTCTGGGGGGCAATCCGAGAGCAGCAGCTGGACCGCGCTGGCCCGGAGAGTGCTGTCAGCGGGGAACCGCAGAGTGCTGCGCCCGGCTGCAGCGAAGCGGGTGAAGAGGCGCGCGGCGCGCACGGGGAAGCAGCGCAGCCGCCCAGCGGGCCCAGGCGCCTGCAGCCTCAGCATCAACTCGCGGCGCTCGTTACGACCCAGTCTCAGCTCCGCGGTGCGTAGGGACTGGCGCCTTCGAGCCTGCCCACCGGGGCTCAGCTCCTCCAGAGTCACACGGCACCGCAGTTCTCCATCCTCGCATTCTGCGGCCGCTGCCTGGGTGCCCGAAAGCATTGCCGCCGCCTCTGCAGGTCTGCAAAAAGACCGGAGCACAGGCGTCACTGGGACTCAGGGGACATCATAGGTGGTACAGGAGTCTGGACAGGGAGCCTAGTCAAAGCTACAAAGGGTCCCAGGGCTGTCACTGGTAACATAAAGAGATCATGGAGACTGTAAAAGCACCCTGGGGCAAACCGGAAATTCTCCTAGACATTTTTCTCCCACACAGTAATTTCCAGAGCTGCGGATGGGCAAGGTCAAGCGCACCCAGGATTGGGAATCTCTGCTGTCCGACAAGAGCCACAGAAGGGAGCCCCTGAACAGAAAAGAAGCTTGCATCTAAGAGACCCAGGGGGGCACGGGAATCTTGAGTCCTCTCCGCAAGGAAGCAGGAGACTCACTTGTGGAGGTAAGCAGGATGGACATGTTATCAGCGCCTTCCCTCTCCCAGCTACTTTCGCTGGTTTATATGTAGTCAAGCTAGTGTCACTATTTCCCATGTACAGAAGTGGAAAACAGGCTGAAAGAGACCACAACGGCTGGTGGGAGTCAGAGATCGTGTGATTCAGAAGCTCTCGTGCTTCCCATCTCTAAGGTGAGGTAGAAGTAGAAAATATTTGGCTACGGAAATAGCGGAGGGACCCTGGCTTCCGGGAACCAGTCCATGCGCCGTCTGATTCATTCGTATGCACCCTCCCGGCAGGGACCCCTTGAAGAAGAACGTTCTGACTCCCACGTCTGGGATCAGGTGGACACTCACTTGTGCCAGCACTCGGACGAACCAGTTGAGAAATGTCGGCCTGCAGGCAAAAGAAGCACACTGCAAACTTTCAAATTCTGGGAGTAGAGAATTATCCTATCACCTGCAGGAGCTTTAAATTTTCTAGCCAATCAGAGAAAGCGGGCGTGACAAGGGGCGTGTCTTTCTGTGTTTCAACCCTCAGAGCTTGGGCTGTACCAATAGCACGCCAGAGGAAGGAGGCTTATTGTGGTGGCGGAGCATACCAAGCCGCGCAGACGAGTGGATGTGGGGGGAAGGGACGGAGACTGCAGCTGGGCCGCGCGTGGATTAGTGTCACCAATCGCGTCTCTGAAGATTTATATTCAAGACCTTGCTTCCAACGCAGACTCCCTCCTCTCTAGCCCTCACACAGCGGCTGAACTTGGCTTTGGGGAAGAGCTGCCTCTGAACCCTCCCATCTCTGTTTACACTCACGGGACCTTTGCCCATTTCTGGGCAGACCGCCCCCCTCCAGCCCTCGCCCCCTGACCGAGACCTGCTGCTCCCGCTGCCCCCACCCCCAGCTCCTTCCACGCTTATGGGTCTTTTTGTCATTTTACTCATGTCTTTCCCATCCATCTGAGACACATCAGTGAAGAACTGAGACCTGTGACCAAGTGCTCAGAGAGTAGAAGGGAAGTGAGCGAGCCTCTGTCTTCAGGGAATGCCTATCCCTCTCATTGTACTGAATGCATAGGAAATTTGTTTTTCATTTTCTTTTCCCTCATTAAATCTTGGAATGACAGAGCTAGAAGGCATCTTACAGGTGAGTCAGCTCGCTCATTTATTGAATTGCCCACATTTTTCAAATGAGGAAACCAAGGCTCCAAGAAGTTTTACCAGATGTCACATAGCTTATAGATAGCAAAACAAAGCCTGGAAGCCAAATCTAAGCCTGTTAGTTTGTCTACTACACCACGTTGCTCCCAGAGAGAGAGAGACAAAGAGAGAGAGAGACAAAGAGACAGAGGCTGGTCTAACCTGGTGAAGGGAGTCCAGGCCTGGACTGGAATATCAGCTCCTGAAAGGCACTGTGTTACACCAGACCTGCAGGTTTGATGTTACTCTAAGCAAGTTTCCTTAATGTCTCAAGCCTTTGTTTCCTTATATTAAAAAATGAAGGAAGATGAAAATGTGATGATTGTGTAACTATGACTATACTAAAGACCATCTAATTATTTGCTTTAAATTGTATGGTATGTGAATTGTATCTCAATAAAACTGTTAGAAAAAATAAAATGAAAAATATTTTTCCTCTTAAATGTTGTTTTGACATATGACTACTAGTGGCACAGAATAAATTTTAATATCACTGTTGTAAGCAGAATAATGATACCCCCCCAAATATGTCTACATCCTAATCCGCAGATTCCTTTTATATGTTACTTTACATAGCAAAAGGGACTTTGCAGATGTGATAAATTAAGGATCTGGACATGGGGAGACTACCCTGGGTTGTCTGGGTAGGCTCAATTAGGATTCTTATAAGGGAGGCTAGAGAATCAGATGGAGAAGGAAATGGTACCCCACTCCAGTACTCTTGCCTGGAAAATCCCATGGACGGAGGAGCCTGGTAGGCTGCAGTTCATGGGGTTGCTAAGAGTCGGACATGGCTGAAGTGACTTAGCAGCAGCAGCAGAGAGTCAGAGGAGATGTGATGGATAAGTGGACATGTATGTGTTTGTGAAAGATAGAGAGAAAGGCTGATTTGAAGATGTTACTGCTAGCCTAGAAAATGGAAGAAAGGGCCATGAACCAAGCTGTATAGGATACAGGTTTCTTGAAGCTGGAAAAGGCTAGAGGAAGTGGGTTCCCCTCTAGATTTGCCAGAAAGAACACAGCTCTTGATTTTAGTCCAATGAGACACATTTTAGGCCTCCACAACTGCAAGATAATAAGTTTGTCTTGTTTTAAGCCACCAAATTTGTGGTAATTTGTTACAGTAACTATAACAATAAGAAACAAATACAATCATGAGCTAGGAAATGAAAGCTGGGATTATGAAAGTATGTCTGTGTCTATTTCCAAAGCCTATGTTCTCTCTTCCCACTACCCTGTGCTCAAGAGTAGCCCCAGCACACTCACACAGCCTGCTCCCTTCTCCCTTCTCTCTGTGTAGTACCCCAGACTGGTTCTAGAGAAAGCCTGGAGACTTCCATATGAATTTTCCCCCAGTATTTTTTTCTTTTGGACTCACCATGCAGCTTGTGGGATTTTAGTTCACCAACCAGGGATCTAAACCAGTCCCTTGCAGTGAAAGCCCCAAGTTATAACCACTGGACTGCAGGGGAATTCCCTCAATTTTTTTTTTAATTGTAAAATATATGTAACATAAAATTCACCATACTGTTTTTCAGTATACAATTCATTACCATTAACTTCATTCAAATATTGTATAACCATCAACACTATTTCCAGAAAAGTTTCATTATTCTGAAACAGAAACTTTGTATCCATAGACCAGACATCCTGGAATGTGAAGTTAAGTGGGCCTTAGGAAGCATCACTAGGAACAAAGCTAGTGGAGGTGATGGAATTCTAGTTGGGCTATTTCAAATCCTGAAAGATGATGCTGTCAAAGTGCTGCACTCAATATGCTAGCAAATTTGGAAGACTCAGCAGTGGCCACAGGACTGGAAAAGGTCAGTTTTCATTCCAATCCTAAAGAAAGGCAATGCCAAAGAATGCTCAAACTACCACACAATTGCACTCATCTCACACGCTAGTAAAGTGATGCTTAAAATTCTTCAAGCCAGGCTTCAGCAATACATGAACCGTGAACTTCCAGATGTTCAAGCTGGTTTTAGAAAAGGCAGAGGAACCAGAGATCAAATTGCTAACATCTGTTGGATCATTGAAAAAGCAAGAGAGTTCTAGAAAAATATCTATTTCTGCTTTATTGACTATGCCAAAGCCTTTGACTGTGTGGATCACAATAAAATGTGGAAAATTCTGAAAGAGATGGGAATACCAGACCACCTGACCTGCCTCTTGAGAAAGCTGTATGCAGGTCAGGAAGCAATAGTTAGAACTGGACATGGACCAACAGACTGGTTCCAAATAGGAAAAGGAATACGTCAAGGCTGAATATTGTCATCCTGCTTACTTACCTTATGTGCAGAGTACATCATGAGAAACGCTGGGCTGAAGGAAGCACAAGCTGGAATCAAGATTGCCGGGAGAAATATCAATAACCTCAGATATGCAGATGACACCACCATTATGGCAGAAAGTGAAGAAGAACTAAAGAGCCTCTTGATGAAAGTGAAAGAGGAGAGTGAAAAAGTTGGCTTAAAGCTCAACATTCAGAAAACTAAGATCATGGCATCTGGTCCCATCACTTCATGGCAAATAGATGGGGAAACAGTGGAAACAGTGGCTGACTTTATTTTTGGGGGGCTCCAAAATCACTGTAGATGGTGACTGCAGCCATGAAATTAAAAGACGCTTACTCCTTGGAAGGAAAGTTATGACCAACCTAGACAGCATATTAAAAATCAGAGACATTACTCTGTCAACAAAGGTCCGTTTAGTCAAGGCTATGGTTTTTCCAGTAGTCATGCATGGATGTGACAGTTGGACTATAAAGAAAACTGAGCACTGAAAAATTGATGATTTTGAACTATGGTGTTGGAGAAGACTCTTGAGAGTCCCTTGGACTGCAAGGAGATCCAACCAGTCCATCCTAAAGGAGATCAGTCCTGGGTGTTCATTGGAAGGACTGATGTTGAAGCTGAAACTCCAATACTTTGGCCACCTGATGTGAAGAGCTGACTCATTGGAAAAGACCCTGATGCTGGGAAAGATTGAGGGCAGGAGGAGAAGGGGACGACAGAGGATGAGATGGTTGGATGGCATCATCGACTTGATGGACATGAGTTTGGGTGGACTCCGGGAGTTGGTGATGGACAGGGAGGCCTGGCGTGCTGCGGTTCATGGGGTCGCAAAGAGTTGGACACGACTGAGCGACTGAACTGAACTGAACTGAACTGAGACAGTAACTCCCATTCCTCTGTTCTCAGCCCCTGGTACCCCAAATATTTTATTCTGAAAATATATTACAACATGTACAGAAAGATTGAAAGACTTTTACAGTGAACACCATATACCTACCATCAAGATTCTACAATTAATATTTTGCTGTATTTGTTTTGTGTATTAGTCGCTCAGTTGTGCCTGACTCTGCAACCCCATGGACTATAGCCTGCCAGGCTCCTCTGTCCATGGAATTGTCCAGGTAAAAATACTGGAATGGGTTGCCATTCCCTTTTCCAGGCGATCTTTGCAACCCAGGGATAGAACCAAGGTCTCTTGCATTGCGGGCAGATTCCTTACAGGGAAGTATTTAACACATCTATCCATCCCCGCATTCATCAATCCATCTTTTGTGATGCAGTTCAAAGTTGCAGACAACAGTATATTTCACGTCTAAACACTACAACATGCATAGAATTAGCTAGAGTTTATGCTTACCTTTTTAATGTAAACTTTACATATAATGAAATGCACAGAATATACAATATGTATTCTTGTGTGTACTGGCTTCTTTCACTCACCATCATTTTGAGGTTCATCCATGTTGCTGAGTGTATCAGTAGTTGGATCCTTTTTAATGCTGAGTTGTGTTGCATTGTATGGATATACTACAGTTTATCCATTTTCCTGTTGATGAATATCTGGATTTTGTGGTATTTATGCTTTATTTTCTCTTGGAAAAATACTTAGATGAAAAATTGCTGAGTCTTGGAGTTTACATTTAGTCTTATATGAAACCGCAAGAGCTTTTCCCAAAGTGGTTGTCTGCCCACCAGGTTAACAGTGAGTCCTTGGGCAGAGGAAAGCTGGACAGGCTTGGCGGTGGATTAACGGTCCTCAGGCTCCGCCCTCCTCCCCGCCCCAGCGCCCCGGGTCTTCAGCTGGATGTTGATTGGCTGATGAAGGAGGGGGGCGGAGGCAGAGGAACTGCTCACATCTGTGACCGGACTTCCTCCCTCTCGGCTTTGTGCAGCTTTTGCATCCGCAGGTCTTCTGCTCACTGCTGCCGCCGCGGGGTCAGTTCCAAGTGAAGCGCAACACTGCTCCCTGGTCTCCCCGCCTAACCCAAAGCCTGGTTTTAACGCCTAACCCAAAGCCTGGTTTTAACGCAAGCTGTCTGGAGGAATGGATTTTCTTTATCATGACATTTCCTCCTCCAGAACTCTCTGTTCATTTTATCTGCTTTCTCCCACTTGGCGGTCTCAGTCCAGTCTCCGACTCACTAATAATGACGACCTCAGCCCAGAACGGGGTGGTTTGCTAATTGCACTGTTAGGCGTTTTCTCTTTTGATACATAAAAGAGCCAGCCCTTCCCCTTTATGATCC